CGATGTGTTGTATCTAATGAAAGCTGGCAATGTTTGTTTTGAACGGTTGAATGTTGGACAGTAAAATAGTATAACGGGTTTGAGTTCCTTTGATATCCCGTAGGATTGGTTGGTTTGACGCTCTTCACGGTGTCCCTTGCAGAGGTGTTCGTGCTTGATTTTATCAAAGCACTTTGAATTTCAGTCAAAATTTCTACTGTGTCTGGCGGATGAATACCTGTTGACTGAGCGGGGCAGATTCGACTACGTAACGGCACAACGCGTAACGGAAAGAAGTCAAGAATTTCCACTATGACATCAGAGTGCTTATTTTCATCGAATGTGCTAACGTAAATGGCACACGATTCGACGATTTCGCTGACGGTTACCCAGTCTCCCGAGTTCAAAACATCTATCTTTTCACGACCATGGTTGAACAAACGCGGTGATGCTTTTTTGCAGACTACAACATTGACAGGTAAAGAATTGAGGGCTAGTTTGGCGAGCGTGTGCGAATCGTCGTTGTCGACTTCGGTAAAATTCCCAACGGCGTCCATCGGCAAACGGACAATTCTTTCCGTGTTGTTGGTTTTCTTAGATGAGCAAATCAAAACAGAATGCTCATCTGGTTCTCCGTTAGGATTGGTGGAAGCCACACCGCGTATAGTCAGTACTTCTCCGCACAATATCGAGTCAAACTGTACGTCCGACGAACGCCAAGTTTTAGTTACCTCGACCTGTGACTGGATACCGGCCATAAGCATATCAATTGGTTTAGCAAAAGTACGCGAAAAAATACGGAACGTCCCATCGTAAGATTCGGGAAGTAGAAGCTCTTGGTCCCGCCATTGGACTAAGTATTTTCTGCAGAATCCCATACTGTGGATTATAAGCAAACTGTCAATCGAGATAGGCAGACGCGAAATAATAGGGGCATGGTCCATCACCTTGACAACCAAAGGTAGTTGTTCGCCATATTTAATGCTGTCATGAATATCCATAACTTGGGCAAAGTCCTCGTCCGTGTAACAAGAATTTGTGACGAGTCTGATCGGTAAATCTGACGGTATGTAAACACACTGACTGTGACCCATAAATAAGCATTCTACAGCCTCGGATTTGTTAAGAATGAATACATCATTAAAATCACATTTTCCATTCCATAAATCAACAACCGTACCTGCACAAAAACTGATTCGTAACGGCAAACGTTTATAGAGGTCACCGACTGTATATTCTAACTCATCGACTACTTCAATGAAATCAGCGTGAAAATCTAACGGCAGTAGCACCTCTCTATTGGATTTCAGATGTTTACATTGTATGTACAGGTTCCTGTCAGCACAGATGGCTTTGTCGATCAACTCCAACGTATCACCTGATTGCACGGACACTGCGTTCGGTACTGTGAACTCTATAGTTGGGGCGACAAATCGGGGGAAATCATCCAACAGATCCGCCACATTGCTATAAACATAACCTTCATCGTGAAATGGAAGCACTTGGAACTTTCCTTCATAATCTAATGGAACAAAACGCCTGTCTGTTACACCAGTGTGTTTAGACACGTAATCAGACTCAGATATTAGTTCCGCCCGTTGCACAACGCGTATCAGCCGACCTAAGTCTCCAACTCTGATATCAGCACCGGCGCGATCGTCATTACAGCTCTTCGCGTCAACGACTTCCACCGTAACTGGCAGTTCGTGGCGTCCTACGTATTCTTTCAGCGATAACGCCATGGCTGCTCTCGTGTCCAAAACGCTTCCTCCTGAATAGTTTCGCGAATGCTATAACCGAAGTGACCTCGTTCGATTGTATGACACCATTCTACGAATTCATTTGCATAGTGGGCACTCCATGTGAAACACGCCCCCTTGGTACGTGTCACTTCATGTTACTATCAACATATGATCATACTTATAATGTATTGGTTGTGACAGTTTCGATCCAAACGTATATTAATGTGTTGGATGTGACAGCTCGTTAAAAACGTATATTTACTATTTGTTTTTAATTGGTCTACATGAGTATCCTGCATTCTCTTAACTGCAAAGGCTTTTTTCAGCTAACACAACATATTATGGCAATAATACTTTCCTAGTGAAAATATATATATATATATATGTGTGTGTGTGTTGTGTATACTTAATAGAAATGCTGGAAAATG